CCACTGGTGCCCTACATCAGGTCAGGGATGTGCCCTGTGCCCTACAGCAGGTCAGGGATGTGCCCTGTGCCCTACAGCAGGTCAGGGATTGTCCCTGTCCCAGCCCTGGGAATTCCTCCCAGACTCCAAGGGTTTGTCCCAACAGCTCCAGGTTGTGGTTCCTGGCTGAGGTTGTTAGAGAGAGTTGGAGGTTGTGTCAGACTGGGAGAGGGTGGGGTGGGATACTGGGAAGGAATTCCTCCCTGGGAGGGTGGGGAGGGGCTGGGATGGAGTTCCCAGAGGATGCCCCATCCCTGCGAGTGTCCAAGGCCAGGCTGGAGCAGCCTGGGATGGTGGGAGGTGTCCCTGTCCTGGGCAGGGGTGGAACTGGGTGGGATTTAAGGTCCCTCCAACCCAAATTATCCTGGGATTCCAGGATTCTGGAGCCCCTCTGCTCTGGAGCCAGGCTGGGAGAGCTGGGAATGTTCTCCTGGAGAAGAGAAGGCTCCAGGGACACCTTGGAGCCCCTTCCAGTGCCTAAAGGGGCTCCAGGAGAGCTGGAGAGGGACTGGGGACAAGGGATGGAGGGACAGGACACAGGGAATGGCTTCCCACTGCCAGAGGGCAGGGATGGATGGGATACTGGGAAGGAATTCCTGGCTGGGAGGGGCTGGGATGGAATTCCCAGAGAAGCTGTGGCTGCTCCATCCCTGGAATTTCTCTTCTCCAGCGACACAGGGACGATTCCACCGGAAAGATGCTTGTTTGGGATCATGTTGAATGTTTCCACCTTCCTGGGTGAGTGGGAAAAGCTCCAAACAATTTCCTTTCCCCCTCAGGTCATGGATGGGCCCAGAAATCCCAGGCAAAAACCAAACCTTGGGCAATAAATCTCTGTGGAGAGGAAAGGATGGGCCAGGGGGGTTCTCTGGGAATCCAGCATGGGAATTGCAGCTTCCATAAGGGCAGGAAAGGCTTTAAAAACCCAATGAGATGAATAAAAGCAACAAAAATGGGAATTCCAGGCAGTTATTTACCTGGAAGGAGGGAAAAACCAACGGGGGGGGGGGGTGTAAATGAAGAAAATCTCAGGAAAATCCATATATTGAAATTCTTTGCTGCTGTATCATCCCAGTTTGCACTCCCAGCCCCTCAGCTTTCCCATTCCTGTGATCCAGAAAAAAATCCCTGGATTTTAAGGAATTCCTTGTGTCACTCAGCACCTTCCCAGTGGGAAAAGGACCCTGGGAATCTCACTGTTGTCCCTGCAGGGGTGGCCACGATGTACGTCCGGTACAAACAGGTGTGTGCCCTGATCCCAGGGAATTCCAGGATCCTCAGGCTCAACAGGATTGGCCTCACCTTGGGCTGGATGAGCTGCTTTGGCCTCTGCATCATCGCAAACTTCCAGGTTTGGGCTTTCCTTGCCTTCTTCTGAAATCCCAGGGAAAGTTTTCATGGAAAACTGGGGGGTTTGGGTCCAATTCCCACCTGGAAACTGTTAAAAAAATTATCATTTTCTTTTAGTTATTCCTTCTTTCCTTTGGGAGCAAACTGGGGCTTTTTGGGTCATATTCCCACCTGGAAACTGTTAAAAAAACTGGATTTTTTTTAGTCATTTCTTCTTTCCTTTGGGACTCATGAGCAGCCCCTTCCAAAGCCCAGGCTTTGCAGGAGGGACACTCGGATCTCATTCCAGAGGGTTGGAATTCCCAGTTCTCCTGGAGTGTTTTTAAGTGTTGCTGCGTATTCAGCCTCGTTCCCTCTGAGGATTCCAGGAGAATTCCAAACAGTCCTTGTTCAGAGAGAGTCCTTTGGGGAAATGCTGAACCTTGTTCTTTTTCCTCTCATTTTGGGTCTTGGAATTCTGAGGTGTTTCTCCTGTTTTCCATGATCTTTCCTGGATTCCCGGGATAGCAATGCTGTTGTGTCTCCCGTTCCTGGCAGGAATTCCCTCCCCCAATTCCTGCATTTCTGTCCCTTATTAATGCCAGCAACTCCCACAAATCCCTGTGTTTAAGGCACAGCTCTCACCTGGAATTTCACCACAAGAGCTTCCCAAAAGCAGCGATTCCAAGGGCTGGAAACTCCAATTCCAAGGGCTGGAAACTCCAATTCCAAGGGCTGGAAACTCCAAATCTCCCGAGCACTTGCACATTCCCCCCGAGGGGGGGAACTTCCAAAGTTTTCCAGAGGAAAATGGTTCCAGGGGGGTTCCAAGAAAAGCAGGATGTGCTTCCTTTTCCCAGAAATGTGTCCTGTACTACATCCACGTGCTGGGGGCCTGCCTGACCTTCGGAGTGGGAGCCCTTTACATGCTGCTCCAGACCGTCCTGTCCTTCCACATGCAGCCGGAATTCCACGGCAAGGGAATCTTCTGGGCCCGCCTGGCCGTGCTCCTCTGGAGCTCCTGCAGCATTGGGAGCAGTATCCTTTCCCGGGAATGTGCCACTGGGACACGGGAGAATCCACGGGCTTGGGATCCAGCTTAGTGTAACCCCGGCTGGAAGGAATGTGCACCTTGGAATGGGAGTGTGCTGGACTCTGGATTCCAACCTGGAATGCTCAGCCTGTGCTGTGTTCCGTATTCCAACTGGGAATACAGGAAAATGGAGTATTTTTAATATCCCCCCACTAAAATCAAGGGAAGAGGAACGGCCCCCAGCCTTTGTCCTCCCCTTTCCCAGAGACCGGAAATAGGAAAAATCAGGATTTATCACCAGGGTGTCTGAGTAAGTTGGGAAGGATGGGGAGAAAGGGAAGTGCACATTCCAAGGGCGAGTCCAAAGGGATTTTGGCCTCTGATCCCCCCCCCAGCCCATCCTGCAGTCCAGACACAAGAGGTTTGTGCCAGACATTCCCTCCAGCATTCCCTCGGCTCTGGAATCCATCACCACTCTCAGCCTTGGACCCTGAGGGCTGGAACAGCTGTGGGGTTCAGGGAAACAGGGAATCCTGGAATGGTTTGGGTTGGAGGGACTTTAAATCCCATCCCACCCCTGCCCTGGGCTGGGACACCTCCCACCATCCCAGGCTGCTCCAGCCTGGGCTTGGACACTCCCAGGGATGGGGCATCCTCTGGGAAATCCAGTCCAGGGCCTCCACATCATAGCAGGAAGGATTCCTTCCCAATATCCCATCTGTCCCTGCCCTCTGGCAGTGGGAAGCCATTCCCTGTTGTCCATGTGTGCCAAAAGAGGCCTTTTGCCTCTCCAGAATCACTGGAGAGTCAGGAAACAGAACCACCCTGATGGCTCCAAACGTTGTGTTTGGAATTGAAGACTCAGCTCTGTGTCAAACAGGAGCACTCCAAACCTCTGGAATCCACATTCCAAAGGCAGGAGTGCAAAGCCTTTGCTTAAACACTTCCCTGGATCCAGGCCACTGATTTAATGCCCAGCAATCCCACTTATTTCCAGGCTGGCAGCCAACACCAGCACTGACCCACATTCCCCATTTCCCGGGGATGGAGCAGCTCCCTGAGCTCTGGGAATCATGCTGGGATAGTGAGGAACAGGCTGGAGAAGGCAGGAATCCCTCCTTGCTGAGGGGGCTGGGAGACAGTGGGGAAATCATCCAGGAAACCTGGAGATTCCTTGTCCCTGTCAGGAATCTTTGGAGGGATCCCTGCAAATGGGATTTGGGGTTCTGAGCACCAAGGAGCCAAACAGGGGGAACTGAAAGGGAGGGTTCAGCTCCAATCCCACATCCCAAAACCCCACAGGCCTCAAGCCTGGAGAGGTTTCCTGAAGCCCTGTGGTGTGACCAGGATGATGGGGAAGCTGGAGAAATAGGAATGTGGGATAATGTGGGTCGGGAAGGGGGAAAAAGGAAAATGAGGATAATTTTCTAAGAGGGAAATTAGAGTAATTTTCTAAATGAATGCCCTGACAGGAGGGGGGAGCCAGGGAACGGGGGACAGGACAAAGGGAAATGGCCTCCAGCTGTGCCAGGGGAGGGGCAGGTTGGATATTGGGGAAAATTCCTGCCTGGAAAGGGTTGTACAGCTCTGGAGGGGGCTGCCCAGGGAGGTTTGGAGGCCCCATCCCTGGAGGTGTCCAAAAACTGTGGGGATGTGGCACTTGGGGGGTCAGTGGTGACCTGGGGAATGGTTGGACTCGATCCCAGAGGGCTTTTCCAGCCTCAGCAATTCCCTGGTTCTCCAGGTTCTCCTTCCCAGAAGGTCGTTAGTGCCCCACTAACGAGGAGAGGGGGAAACCAGAGGGGTTTGTAGCACCAGGATCAAATTCCTCCCACTCCATCAGGAACCAGGAGCTTCCAGAGCAGCTGAATTCCCAGGGAATCGGGGAATTCCTGCACTCAGCTCAGCATCCAGAGCTCCTAGCCCAAAAGGTTCTGTTTTTAGGGAGCTGCCTCCTCTGCCCAGCTTTTCCTTTGGATTAATCCTGGTTTAAATGGAATAACTGATATTTGCTGGACAGTGGGAGCCACTGTATCTTCTCAGAGAACATTTAAACGTTTAAAGAACCACCTTCCAGGAAACAACCACAAAAGGAGCATTTAAGGAACGAAGATGAATATAAATTAGGAAATACTAAAAATGAATGTTCCAGGGTGCTGCCTTTGAAAGCAAACAAGGCAGAAGCGAGGGCAGGACGCTGGAGGGAGAGTCCCCTTGGGAGATCCATTTGGTTCTCACCTGAACATCAGCACCCCCCGTGCTCCCAGTGCTCCCAGACTGGGACTGGTCCCAGCTGTGCCCTGAGCCAGGCCTGGGATGGGATGGGATGCTCCAGCTGGACACTGGCATCTGGAAAATGATCCAATTCCTCCCACCCCATCAGTGACCAGGAGCTCCCAGAGCATCTGAATTCCCAGGGAATTGGGGAATTCCTGTACTCAGAGCATCCAGAGCTCCCAAACCACTCACAGCCACTTTCAGGGAGCTTTGGAAGTCTGGATTCCCAGTTTGTGCTGGGAAGCCCCACCCAAACAAGTCCTTCCCCATCAGGAGGCTCTGGAGGTTTGATCTCATTGACCATGGATGGGGTTTGATACCTCAGGGCTGGGAAATCAGATTGGCTCCAAATTAACCTGATTTCCTTGGCAAAGGCAGGAGCCCTGGCTTCCTTCCCTGGACAAGGGGTTGGAAAAGTTGGATTAGACTCTGGAAAGATCCGGGTCTGGGATTAAATGAGGAGTCACTGGGGGTTTTTCCCTTGGCTGCTGTTTGAAATCCCAAGGAGTTCCAAATCCTGACTAAGAAAGGAAAGCTGGCACAGAATTACAGCCTGGGACCCACCAGGCAAGAATTCCAGGTGGTTGGGAGGCTGAAAAGCCAATGGAGAAAGAGATCTGGGCTCCGTGAGCCTGGAAAACACCCCTGAAAATATTCTAGGTGCTCAGGAAGTGCTGCCAGCTGTTCACAGCTCCAGTGCTTCCATGAGGACACTGGGATCAGGGATAAGGAGCTGTGCTTCCATGAGGACATGGGGACTGGGGAGGGATGAGGAGGAGCAGCTCCCAGAGAACAAGGGGGTGGGTGCAGGGCTGAGTTGACCCTTTGATGGGGCAGGAATTGATGGATTGGGATGAGCTCCAGGGTGGGAAGGGCCCGTGGCCCCAGTGCTGCTCCTTCCCCTGAGGAGCCTCATGGAGAGCAGTCCAAGCCCAAAGCTGGGCTCAGCCCAGCCCAAAGCCGGGCCTAAAGCCCCCGGATACCCATCCTTGTCCCTGACCCTTCCAAAGCCAGGCCTAAAGCTCCCAGAGGCCCATCCTCGTCCTGCCCCCTCCTTGACATTCCGCAGTGTCCGTGTCCTCGGGGCTCCTCTACAGTGGCCGCTACGGATCCGGCCTGGAGCAGAGGCTGCACTGGGACCCCCGGGACAGGGTAAGGCCTGGGGGGGATTGGGGGAAGGGGGGGACATTCCTGCAACTCCAGACGGGATTGGCACGGATGGGGGACGTTCCTGCAGCTCCAAACGCAGGGGAGGAGAGGAGCTCCCTGGAGTCCTGGAATGCCAGGCTGGAGTGGGTAGGAAGGGACTTCAAAGCCCATCCAGTCCCAGCCCTGCCCCGGGCAGGGACACCTCCCACCATCCCAGGCTGCTCCAACCTGGCCCTGGACACTTCCAGGGATGGGGCAGCCACAGCTTCCCTGGGAATTCCATCCCAGCCCTTCCCCACCCTCCCAGCCAAGAATTCCTTCCCAACATCCCATCTATCCCTGCCCTCTGGCAGTGGGAAGCCATTCCCTGTGTCCTGTCCCTCCATCCCTTGTCCCCAGTCCCTCTCCAGCTCTCCTGGAGACCCTTTAGGCCCTGCCAGGGGCTCCAAGGTGTCCCTGGAGCCTTCTCTTCTCCAGGGGAACATTCCCAGCTCTCCCAGCCTGACTCCGGAGCAGAGGGGCTCCAGAATCCTGGAATGCCAGGATGGTTTTGGGTGGGAAGGCACCTCAATCCCCCCCCCATTCCACAGGCAGGCACGCTTCCCATAGAGCAGGTTGTTCCAACCTGGCCTTGGGCAGTTCCAGGGATGGAGATTCCACAACCACCTCTCTGGACAACCTGTGCCAGAACTCGCTGAAGTTCTGCTCCCACAAAACAGTTGGAGCTCCAAGTGTGACTTTAAATCAATCCCAAACCAGTTGGAGCTCCAACTGTAAACTCCAATCAATCCCTCCGGTCCCCAGAGCTGGAGGGTTTGTTGCTCAGGCCCAGCTCTGGATTGAGCCTTAAGGTGTTAAATTCCCTGTGGGTGCCATCCCAGGGTTTTCCTGGCCATTCCCACTCTTCATTCCTGGAGGCTCTAAGGAATTGTGTTCTCCAGTGGGATGTGGGATGTCCCGTGGGATGTCCCGAGGCATTTTGTGTCACAGCAGCTCCCAGAGCAGCTTTTCCCAGCGATTCCCCCTCTCCCCCACAGGGATACCCCCTGCACATGGTCAGCACTGTCTCTGAGTGGTCCTTGGCCTTCTCCTTCCTCAGCTTCTTCCTCACCTACATCCGGGACTTCCAGGTAACGGGAATTCACGGAGCTGCTGCTCCTGCCCCGCCTGGCAGGGGGCAGGGATGGGTTTGGGTCCAAGGTGGGACCAAATTATGCCCAACTTAGATCAGATTTTGGGGAATCCTCTGGGCTGGAGACCTTTGAGGTGACAGAGTCCAGCCCTGAGCCAGCGTGGGGCTGTGCCAGGCTGGAGGATCCCTGTGGGATCCAGGGAGGATCCATGGAGGGAACCCCAGCTCTGCTCCCACGGCCAGCACCACACTGGCCAGGGCTGGGTTTAACTGACCTCAGCTGGCTCCAGCTGGCTCTAACTGGCTTCAACTGCCTCAGCTGGTTTTAACAGGCTTTAACTGGTTTTTAACTGGTTTTGACTGACTTTAACTGGCTTCAACTGGCTCCAAATGCCTTTAACTGATTTTAACTGGCTTTAATTTACTTTGACTGTTCCAACTGGTTCCAACTGGCATCAACTGGTTTTAACTGGCTTTAACTGACTTTAACTGGTTTTTAACTGGTTTTGACTGACTTTAACTGGCTTCAACTGGTTCCAACTGGCATCAACTGGTTTTAACTGGCTTTAACTGACTTTAACTGGTTTTGACTGACCGGAATTCCCAGTTAGGGGAGGCACTGACTGGAATTCCCAGTGCAGGGGGATCACTGACTGGAATTCCCAGTGTGGGATGAGGCACTGACCGGAATTCCCAGTGCAGGGAATCTCTGGGGCAGGGGTGAGGCCCTGACCAGAATTCCCTGAATTCCCCCAGAAGGTGTCCCTGGGGGCTGTGGTGACTCTACAGGGACGGACCCTCCACCACGTCCCCCCCCCGGGCTCCGGGGCCGAGGAGCAGGGACTGCTCTTCCCAGGGAGCGTCTGACAGAGCTCCTGGAACTCAGGAATTCCTGCAGCAGCAGCAGCAGTTGGTCCTTCCCAGCATTTCTGCCGTCCCAAGCCAGAGTCCTGTTCCCCCCCAGCCGTGCCCGACCTGCCGGAGCCGGGCCTGGTCCTGACATTTCTGCCTCAGTGAGCATTAAATGAAGGGAATAACGAGCTCTGTGTCCTCATCACTCCCCCTCAGCCCCCACCCCCCTCTCTCCAGCCCCTCTGGATGCAGGAGCCTCCAGCCCCTGCCCTGCCCCCCGTGGGGCTGAGCTAGGACCTGCTCCAAGTGTCACGGGATCATGGAATGGTTGGGGTTGGGAGGGACCTGGAAGCCCTTCTAGTTCCACCCCTGTCACCTCCCACTGTCCCAGGTGGCTCCAGCCTGGCCTTGGACACTTCCAGGGGTGGAGCAGTCACAGCTTCTCTGGGAATTCCATCCCAGCCCCTCCCCACCTTCCCAGCCAAGAATTCCTTCCCAGTATCCCATCCATACCTGCCCTCTGGCAGTTTGAAGCCACTCCCTGTGTCCTTCCCTCCATCCCTTGTCCCCAGCCCCTCTCCACGGTTCTTGTTGGTCCCCTCAGGCCCTGGGAGGCCACAATGGGGTCATCCCAAAGCTTCTCTTCTCCAACAATCCCAACTCTCAGCCTTTCCTCACAGGACAAGTTTTCCAGCCCTTGGATCATCCTTCTTTTTAAAAATGGGGCCAAATTTCCCCTTTTCCCATCTGTGGGAACTTCCCAGACTGCCCCAACTCCTCAGATACGATGGGGAGTGAGGAGGCACTTCCACCATCTCCCTCGAGATCCTGGGAAGCAGCTCAGCAGGTCCCACGGACTTGGGCACCTTCAGGATCCTCAGATGATCTCTCTGATCTTCTCAAGTCCAGGAATGGGAAGGGGTCCAGCTGGGGAAGGGTCTGGAGCAGCAGGAG